CCCCCCCTCTAAAAAAAAAAAAAAAAAAAAAAAAAAAGAGCTCTTTCATTGCAGGATTAGGAAGTTTGTTTGTTCATTTTATTTGCCAGAGGGTGCACTTGCTAGAGAGAGACAGAGACAGAGATGAAGAGGGAGAAACCCCCCAAGTGGGGTGTGCTCATGCTACAATTCCTTCTCCATCTCTCTCCTACTATGACAAATCTCTCAAAAAAAAAAATCAATAAAAGAGTTTCAAGCCACCGGGTCCAGGACTGGAACCACGGTCAGCCAGGTGGGAGTTCAATGACATAACTATTACACCATCTGCTGGTCCCAACAGTCAACAAATTTAAAAAGCTATTTAAATCATTGAAGAAAAACCCAACCGAAGGGATTGCAGTGTGGCCATCCCCCCTGGGGGGTGATTTCTTGCTTTCTGTCTCTGTCTCTCTCTGTCTCTCCGCGGTCGACTACGTGGGAGTCCAGCAACATAGCCATTACGCTAACTGCTGGTTCCCGGCATGTTTATCTTTTTTGGGGGGCCGGGGGAGAGATTTTTGCTATAGGGCATATGGCCTCACTGGAGAGACAGACAGAGACAGAGAGACAGAAAGTGAGAAATCACACACCCCAAGGTGGGGGGATGGCCCCGCCACAATCCCTTCTCTTCCATCCCATTCTCTTTTGGGGATTTTTGGGCACATATGCACATATGCCTGGCGTGAGTTTGAAGCTGCCAGGGCTGGTATTCAAACCACAGTTGACCACGTGAGTCCAGAGACATAACTATTATGCCATCTGTTGGTCCCATCTTTTTCTTTTTTTTTTTTTTTTAAGAGAGATTTTTACTGTAGGGCACATGCACTCGTCAGAGAGACAGAGAGAGAGAAAGGGAGAAATCACCCCCCTGCCCAGGGGGTATGGCCAGGCCGCAATCCCTTCTCCTCTTTTTCTCTCTAAGGATTTTGGGCAAGCACGCACACATGCCCAGCCCTGAGTTTCAAGCCTTTGGGTCTGGGACTTGAACTGGGGTCGGCCATGTGGGAGTAATCACTACACCACCCACTGGCCCCCTGGCATGTTTTTCAAGCTGCCAGGGTTAGGATTTGAACCATGGTCAGCCATGTTGATTTTTATTTTTAATTTTATTTTTATTTTTATTTTTTTTGGAGAGATTTTCACTGTAGGGCACGTGCGCTCGCCAGACAGACAGAGAGAGACAGAGAGACAGAAAGCGAGAAATCACCCCCCAGGGGGGATGGTCACGCCGCAATCCCCTCTCCTCCATTCTCCTCTCGGGATCTTGGGCACGCACGCACACGTGCCCGGCGTGAGTTTTAAGCCACCGGGTCCGGGACACGAACCGCGGTCGACTACGTGGGAGTCCAGCGACATAGCCATTACGCTAACCGCTGGTTCCCTTGATTTTTATTTTTAATTTTCTTTTTTTTGGGGGGGAGAGATTTTCGCTATAGGGCGCGTGCACTCGTCAGACAGAGAGAGACATTAGAGACAGAAAGTGAGAAATCACCCCCCGGGGGGATGGCCACGCTGCAATCCCTTTTCCTCCATTCTCCTCTCGGGATCTTGGGCACGCACGCACACGTGCCCGGCGTGAGTTTTAAGCCACCGGGTCCGGGACACGAACCGCGGTCGACTACGTGGGAGTCCAGCGACATAGCCATTACGCTAACTGCTGGTTCCCTTATTTTTAATTTTCAATTGAGAAGGAATCACTGCAGATGAACCCTGTAAAGCGAACAGCTGAGCGGCCGTTAGGACGTTCGCGTGTCGTGCAGCTGTCTCTTCGGTCCAGTTCAAAGCAGTTTCTCCCCTCAAAATAAAACTCCGCAGCTGTTACAAAGTGACTCCCCACTCTGTTAGGCCCCGGTCCCCTGCAGTCACTAACCTGTCTGTCTCCGTGGATGTACCTGTTACAGGCCCTCTGGACATGTGGAATCACACAGCACGTGGCCCCGCGTGTCTGGTTTCTTTCACTAAGTGTCCCGCTTTCAAGGCTCACCCGCAGTATGGCCTGTGTCAGGGCCCCACTGCTTTTCATGACTGAGTCACACCCCACGGTGTGGATGGGAACTGACCTTTTTTTCTTCTTTTAATTATTTATTTATTTTGAAAGAATTATTCTATTTAACTTCATTTATTTATTTATTTTCATTTGACCAGAGAGGGACAGAGAGAGACAGAGAAAGTGAGAAAACAAGGCACAAGGTGTGGGACTCGAACCGTGGTCAGTTATGTGGGAGTCCAGTACCTTAACCAACATGCCACCTGCCAGTCCCCTTTTGTTTTACATTTTTAAAAGAGATTTTTTGCTATAGGGCATTTGCACTTACCAGAAAGACAGAAAGAGTCAGAAAGAGACAGAGAAATAGAAGGCGAGAAATCACCCCCCAGGGGAGATGTCCATGCTGCAATCCCTTCTCCATTCTCCTCTTGGAGGTCTTGGGCGTGCACACACATATGCCCTGTGTGAGTTTTAAGCCTCCAAATCCAGGACTTGAACTATGGTCAACTACATAGGAATCCAGTGACGTAACCATTATACCATCTACTGGTCCTGGAACCTGATCTGTTTTTTTTTTTTTTTTTTTTAAGAATTATTTTAAGGAATCAGCAGTTAGCATAATGGCTATGTCGCTGGACTCCGATGTAGTCGACCGCGGTTTGCGTCTCAGACCCGGTGGCTTAAAACTCACACCGGGCGCGTGTGCGTGTGTACCAAAGATCTCAAGAGGAGAATGGAGGAGAAGGGATTGCGGCGTGGCCATCCCGCCTGGGCGGTGATTTCTCGCTTTCTATCTCTCTGTCTCTCTCTGTCTGTCTGGCGAGCGCATGTGCCCTATAGCAAAAACCTCTCCAAAAAAAAAAATTATTTTAATTAACTTTATTTATTTATTTATTTGACCAGAGAGAGACAGAGTTAGAGAGTGGGCAAGAGAAAGAGCAAGAAAGCAAGCCTCCAGGTCCAGGACTCAAACCGCCGTCAGCTATGTGGGAGTCCAGTGCCTTAGCCAACACACTACCTGCCAGCCCCGGGAGCTGATTTTTTAAAACCCAGGTTAAGGCCAGCAGGTGGCACAGAGATTTAGGCAGCTGGAGCCCTGGTAGTTGACTGAGCAATGTGAGACCCAGACCTGGCAAACTGAAAATCAGGCCAAGCATGTGTGCCCAAAATCCTGGGAGGAGACTGGAGGGGAGCAGACTGTGGCATGGCCGTCTCCCAGGTGCGGGTGCGATTTCTTACTTCCTCTGTCTCTCTCCAGGGACCACACGCACCCTAGGGCAAAAATCTATAAACTAATAACAAAAATAATAAAAAATGAAATAAAACCCAAATCAGACCATGTTCCTCCATCGCAAATCAATCCACCCAGTGGCCGCCCCTTCCCCTTACTCTGGACTCCACTCCCTTCTCCAGCTGACACCCTCCAAGCCATCACAGCCTACCTTTTTAGGGACTGCCGCCCTGCCGGCCATTCATTGCTAGTTCATTGGCTCAATTTCTGTTATTTTAAGACTTTTTTTTTTTTTTTTTAAAGTTTTCGCCTTAGAGTGCATGCATTCACTAGAGAGGCAGACAGAGAGAAAGTGAGAAATCCCTCTCCCCAGGGCAGATGGCCACACCACAATCCCTTCTTCTCCATTCTCCTCCTGGGATCTTGGGCACACCGGCACACGTGCTCAGCGTGGTTTTCAAGCCACTGGATCCAGGACTCAAACCAGTCGACCATGTGGGAGTCCAGCGACATAACCACTACACCATCTACTGGCCCCCAGTTTCTGTTCTTTTTTTTGGGGGGGAGGAGAGGTTTTCGCTATAGGCGCGTGCGCTCGCCAGACAGAGAGAGACATAGAGACAGAAAGCGAGAAATCACCCCCCAGGGGGGATGGTCACGCCGCAATCCCTTCTCCTCCATTCTCCTCTCGGGATCTTGGGCACGCACGCACACGCGCCCGGCGTGAGTTTTAAGCCACCGGGTCCGGGAGGCGAACCGCGGTATACTACGTGGGAGTCCAGCGACATAGCCATTACGCTAACTACTGGTTCCCCCCAGTTTCTGTTCTTTAAACACCCCAGGCTTGCTCCCACCTGAGGGCCTTTGCACCTGCTGCTTCCCCTGCCGAGTGCTTTGCAGTGAGATGTCTGAGCCTCGGGTTCTCTGCATGTGGAGAAAAGAAAATCTCCCGACCCCCACCACGGAGGAGGCCTGCTGATGGAGTGCTTGGGGCTGTTTATCCTTAACACAGCGCGGCTCACAATGACTAATTGGACTTTTTTTTTTTTTTAGAAGAAATACAAAGTGGAGACGGAAATCGAGAACTGGATCCAGAAATACGACACCGAGATGGGCGAAAAGCAGGTATGTGTCACGGAGCAAGTCCCTTCCGAGTGCTTTTCCCAAGATCCCTTTTCTGAAGTTCCTTCAGCCAGATGGGACAGGCCCGGCACCACCACCGGATCTCGGATCCCCGGGCCGGGCCGCGGTGCAGAAAGGCTGAGCGCAGGATCTCGGATCCTCGGGCCGGGCCGCGGTGCAGAAAGGCTGAGCGCAGGCGGCCCCGGGGCGGAAACACTCACCCCCGGGGAGGAGGCAGCCTGGTGACCGCTGCCCCGCCCCCAGGAGGAGCTGGAGGAGCTGGAGCTCATCCACCAGGAGGAGAAGGCGCAGCTGGAGGAGCTGAAGCAGCGCCACAGCGTGCTGCTGGAGGAGTTCGCCCAGATCCGCACGGAGCGCGAGATCACCTCCAAGAAGAAGATGGAGGCCGAGCGCGAGATGGTGCGCATGGTCAGGGCCGCCACGCTCATCCAGGCCGTGTGGAAGGGCTACCTGGTCCGCTCCATGCTCAGGTCCAAGAAGAAGAAGCGGGGCAAGGGCAAAGCCAAGGAGCAGGAGAAGGGCAAGAAGGGCAAGGGCAAGGGCAAGAAGTGAGCGCCGTCGCCCGGGCTCCAGCACGCGCGGTGCCCCCGGCCACCAGGAGGGGGCGCTAATTCCTTACACAGCCGGAGACCGGCTGCCCAGCGATCCAGATCCGGCCGGAGCCCGGCCATTCACCACCCAAGCGTGCTTTTCAGTTATAAAAAACCCCTTAACCACGTTCGAGAGAACAGCCTACTTCAAATTAAACAAACCTCAGTGCACCCAGGGCTGCCGTCTCTGCTTGCAGGGCCCGGCAGTTCCGCCAGGAGTGAGCAGGTGGGGGTGTGGGCTCTAGGTGTCGGTTCCTCACTTTGACCTCAGCGGTACACCAGCCGGGAAGGGCATGGCCCTGGGGTACCTTACCCAGAGGCAGGCAGGGAGCCGCAGGAGCAGGGCCTGCGGTTTCAGCTGCCCGCAGCCCGGTTATGGGGTCATCAACCTGATGTTCACTTCCCCTGCTGCACAGCGAAAGTTCAGGAGTTCCAGGCCCCAGCAGCCAGCAGCCTCATGGCCTCGCACTGCTTTATGTGGGCTCAGGGAGTTGGCACAATTACATTTTTGTTTGTTTGTTTGTTTTGTATTATTTTTGCTATAGGGTGTGTGTACTCTCCAGAGAGACAGATAGCAGGAAATCACCCCCTGGTGGGGGTAGCCATGCTGTAATCCTTTCTCCTCCATTCTCTTAGGATTTGGGTCTCTCTCTCTCTCTCTCTCACACACACACACACACACACACACACACACACGCACGCGCGTGCCTGGCATGAGTTTCAAGACACTGGGTCAGGAATCTGAACCACAGTCAGCTGTGTGGAAATCCAGCGACGTAACCACTGCGCCACCTGCTGGTCCCCACTTAAGAATTTTACTTATCCTTTTTTGTTCTAGAGGTTTTTCCTTTAGGGCACATGCACTCGCCAGAGAGAGAGAGATGGTGAGAGGAAAAGTGAGAAATCACCCTCCAGAGGGGATGGCCGTGCCACAATCCCTCCTCCACCCTCCTCCCTAGATCTTGTGCATACATATGCATGATTTTCAAGCCACCGGGTCTGGAACTCGGACTGCTGTTGGCCATGAGAGTCCAGTGACATAACCACTACAACTCTGCTGGCCCCATCTTTATTTTTTAAATTTGGTATAGGGCACCTGTGCTCATGAGAGAGAGAGAGCGAGAGAGAGCAAGCTGCCAGGTCTGGGACTTGAACCACAGTCTGCCATTCAGGAGTCCAACACCTTACCTATCATGACACCTGCTGGCCCAGAACAATTTTTCTTTTTTTTTTTTTTAAAAGAATTTTTTTTTCCTCTTTTTTTGCTATAGGGCATGTGTGCTTGCCAGAAAGGCGCAGAGAGACAGAGAGACCAAAAGTGAGAACTCACCCCCTAGAGGGGATGGCCACACCGCAATCCCTTCTCCTCCATTCTCCTCTCAGGATTTTGGGCATGCATAGACACGCACCTGATGTGAGCTTAAGCCACTGGGTCCAGGACTTGAACTGTGGTCGACTACGTGGGAGTCTAGCGGCATAACTATTACACTATCTGCTGGTCCAGTCTCAAACAATCTTAACCAGCTTCTGACACTTTCAAACTCGAGGGCTATCACATAGAAATCCAGCTGCTTTGGGGACCAGCAGGTGGCATGGTGGGACAAGGTGCTGGACACTCCCACATGGCTGACCACGGTTCAAGTCCTGGACCTGGTGGTTTGCTTTCTCACTTTCTCTCTCTCTCTCTCTGTGTATGTGTGTGTGCGTGTCTCTGGTCAAATCAAATTTTAAAAATAATAAATGAATAAAATTCAAAAAAAAGAAATTCAGCTGCCTCTTCTGGAAAAAAATCTCCACATCCAAATACCCGCAGGCCTGCCTGTCTTCTAGAACTCTGTAGCAGTACCTGTATTAAACGATACAGACCACAGGCTGCTCCAGTCCCCACCACTCCCATCTGCCTTCAGACCCTTGGCCTGGCATCAGTTCGTCCTTAGCAACAAGCTTGGGCTGTTGGTTAACTGTCAACTGTTCCCATCAGTGGAAGGAGAGGCATTTCTCACCTTGGTCTATTAAAAGCCGGGTAAGGAAAAGAATGAGATATTCCAAGAAAAACCAGGAGGGGGCGCTAATTCCTTGCAAAAGTTCTAGGAAGCTTAAACAGCTTCTGTTTAAAATGCAAATGGTGGGGGCCAGCAGGTGGCATGGTTAAGGCATCGGACGCCTGTGTTGTAGATCGCCATTAGCCCGTTGAGTCCTGGACCTGGAGGCTTGAAACTCAGGCCGGGTGTGTGTGCCCAAAATGCCAAGAGGAGAATGGAGGAGAGGGGATTGCGGCTGTGGCCATCCTGCTTGGGCGGGGAGGGAGACTTCTCGCTTCCTGTCTCTCTGCCTCTCCAGTGAACGAGTCTGTGCTGTGTGCAGCTGTTTCCCTCATGACCTGTCTGGCTCCTACAGGCGTTGGCAGTTTTGTCCCCAGTTATGGCAGCTGCGAGTCCCTCCCCAGCAGAGACCACTCCTTCCCTTCCCTGAGATGAAGGTACGGATGTGGCCTCCAGCCAGGCTCCCTGGAACCCAGTGCTTCCTGGAAAGTCTCAGGGGAAGACGGGCAAGGACAGGCCCAGCGCCCAGGTCGATTGGGAGTCAGGAGGTAACTGCCTTGGGAAGGGCTCTTCTGGTCTCTGTAGGCAACCTGGCCTCGGTCCCTTGGCTCACAAGCAGGAGAGCAGGGGGGAAGTGTGCCCCCACCATGCGAGCCATCCAGGGTACTCTCCAGACACAACCCTCTGCCTGGCAAAGTCTGAGCCATTTATTTAAGGTGGAACACGCACGAGGGGTCTTAAGGTAGTCACGGACAATGCAGATTATGAGCAAAAATAAGCTCGTTCATTTTTTTTTTTTTTGAGAGGTTTTTGCTATAGGGCAAGTGCACTCGCCGGACTGAGAGAGACAGAGAGATAGAAAGGGAGAAATCACCCCCCCCAGGGGGGATGGCCACAACGCAATCCCTTCTCCTCCATTCTCCTCTCGGGATCTTTGGTACACACGCACACGCGCCCGGCGTGAGTTTTAAGCCAGGTCCAGGACGCGAACCACGGTTGACTACATGGGAGTCCAGCAACATAGCCATTACGCTAACTGCTGGTTCCTCATTCATTTTTTTTTTTTTTTAAAGAGTTTTTTGCCTTAGGGTGCCTACTCTCCTGGTGGGAGGCAAAGGTCGGGGGAGACGGAGACGGAAAAAGAGAAAGTGAGGAATCATCCCTCCACCCCCCAGGGGGGATGGCCACGCCGCAGTCCCTTCTCCTCCTGGGATCTTGGGCACGCATGCGTACATACCCGCCATGCTTTTCAAGCCACCGGGTCCGGGACTCAAACTACTCGGCCACGTGCAGGTCCAGCAATGTAACCACTATGCCCCAATAAATTCATACTTTAATTTCCGTTTTCTACGAACTTTCTGAGGTCCCCTGGAATGTTCATCATTTAAAAATCACACAAACGGGCCAGCCTGTAAACTGGTGGTTAAGGGGCTGGATCCCACGTGGCTGACCCACTGGCTTGGAAACCACGCCGGGTGCACATGCATGCATGCCCAAAATCCCCAAAGGAGGGACATGGAGAAGGGACTGAGGGATGGCCATTTCCCATGGGGCGATGAGTTCTCACTTGGGCACTCTTCTTTTTCTGTCTCTCTGCACAACTGCATGAATCCAGCGATGCTCCAGAACCGTGTCCCTCACCCTCAGTTGCCCGCCTGCTGCTGAAACACCCGTATACGACCTGCTACATCATTTTTTAAAAAAAGAATTATTTATGTTTATTTATTTATTTTAATTTGACCAGAGAGGGACAGAGAGAGAGAGAGAAAGAAAGTGAGAAAGCACACTGCCAGGCCTGGGACTGGAACCATGGTCAGCCATGTGGGAGTCCAGTGCCACCTGCCCACCATGCCACCTGCTAACCCCCCTGTTACATCATTTAACTTAGTTACGTAAATTAACTTGGGCCTACTGCGGGCAGTAGGTGGCATGGCAGTCGGGACACTGGCAGTAGGGCCCACTGCAGTTTGATTCCTGGACCTGGCTGCTTTGCTTTTTCACTTTCCCTCTCTCTCTCTCTCTCTCTCTCTCTCTGGTCAAATTATTTTTCTCTAAGAGAAAAATACTAGTGACGCTCACAGCTTCAAAGAGCTACTGATCTGTGAGATATTTCACGTGTGGAGATAAAGACATGACTATGGAGGTGACACCTTCACCCCGTATCACCCACATGCCCTTCCCTCCCCCCGGGGGCCTGGGAAAACACTCCTCAAGCCTCCAGACCCTGTGACACTCATCCCCAAAAGGGTGCTCATCTTGGGAGCAGGGATGGGATGGCAGGACCCCCAGGTTGGCAATCACTCCACTTGGCAATAAGACACAAAGAACAGCTGGGAGGGGATGACCCCAGGTTGGCACTGATCTGGACCTGGTCAACCAGCCTCAGAGGGCACTGCAAGGACGGGCCTCAAACCCACCTCGGGAGCAGGGAGCAGCTGAGCTGGACAGGACAGGGGAGGTCCTAACCATCCCGTGTTAGTCCCCGTGGGGCTTCTGTAATGCCTGGGGTTACCCTGCAGATGCTGGCTTCCCCAAAAGACCCCTGCCAGGGGTGGCATCCCTCCCCTGGACGTACCTGATGGAAGAACCTTATTTCCAAGGGGGCCTTGGTTTCTGAGCGACCCCACCTTGCCGAGGGGTAGCTGGCACTGAAACGCTGACCGAGCGAGCCCTGGAAGTCACCCCTGACCCAGAAGGCCTGTGATCCAGAGGTCCACGTGTGTGGGGGGCACTGGTGGCTAAGTGACCAGTGCTGGGGACATCCAGGGGGGTGAGGGACTGGGATCGCCCCCTCCGTGGAGGGCGTGCAGTATCCACCCCGTTCACGGACAGCTTCCGGGAATCTGTTGCCACCCTGGGCTCTGTCTTGGAGGGGCAAGCTGGATGAACGGCCCGCAGTGGAGTCTCCCTAGGGGAGGGCGAGCAGCCACCCCTGGGAGTAGCTGGGGGTGTCCAGAAGAGGGCATGGAGTTTGGCGGCATCCCCCTTCGCCATCCACGGGGTCTCCCAGCTGGCGCCTCCGGGTCGGGAACCAAACAGTGACTCATCGCAGTAAGATGGAGTGTGGCTGACCAGTCTGGCAGAGGGAGAAAACAGTCAGCTGGGGGCGAACAGCCCCTGAAAACCAACAGCCCCACTCCCCCAACCTCTGCTGTGAGCAGGAAAGGGCTGCATGTGGACTGCACGAAACCCTGTCCCGACAAGGCCACAATCTCTCAGGTACTGAGCCCATCTCTGGTTTTCCCTGTGAAACATCCAGTTCCGCCCTGCATTTTATTTATTTATTTATTTATTTGTTTATTTATTTTTGGAGAGGTTTTCGCTATAGGGCGCGTGCGCTTGCCAGACAGACAGAGAGAGACAGAGAGACAGAAAGCGAGAAATCACCCCCCAGAGGGGATAGCCATGCCGCAATCCCTTCTCCTCCATTCTCCTCTCGGGATCTTGGGCATGCATTCACGCACACACGCCCAGCATGAGTTTAAGCCACCGGGTCCGGAACGCAAACCGTGGTCGACTACGTGGGAGTCCAGCGACATAGCCATTACACTAACTGCTGGTCCCAACCCCCCCTGCATTTTGACCCCATTCCCAGGTATGTGGTCCAGGCCTGGTTATTTTACATATTCCATCCTCCCAGCCACACTGATTGGTTCATGGATGGCCATGTGACCCAAGTCTGTCCAATAAGAGCTTACTTTAGGATTTTGGAGCTGCTGGTGGCTGCTGATTGGGGCACTGGTCTCTACATGGTGAACTGTGGTTGGAGTCTGGCCCTGGCAGCCTATTTTCTCACTTTCCCTTTCTCTCTCACTCTGTCTGCCTGTTCAAATTAAAAAACAAGTAACAGGGACCAACAGATGCTATGGTGGTTACATCACTGGGCTCCCCATAGCTAACCATGGTTTGAGTCCCAGACTTGGTGGCTTAAAATTCATGCCGGGTGTTTGTGCCCAAAAACCCCAACAGGAGAATGGAAGAGAAGGGATTATGGCGTGGCCATCCCGGCTGGGGGGGAGGTGGGGGGTGATTTCCCACTTTCTGTCTCACCAGGTCCGGGACTTGAACTGCGGTCGACTACATGGGAAACATGCAACACAGCCATTACACCAACTGCTGGTCCCCTATTCTTGTCTTTAAGCAACTCATGACTATAATCTAACTAGCAATAATAACCATTTGTGTCAGCTCCTATTTTTCTGCTTTATTCATGAAAATGCTACAAGATGCATTTTATTTGATCTTTTTAAATTTTTATTTACAAATTTGACCAGAGGAAAGAGAGGGAAAGTGAGAAAGCAAGGCACCAGGTCTGGGACTCAAACCATGGTTGGCCATGTGGGAGTTCAGTGCCCCAACCACCACACCCCCTATTGGTTCCTCAAGACCTATTTTAAAAACAACTTGCCGAAACTCAGAAACATTCCACCTATGTCATTTCATGATTTAAGCACATTAATAACCTTCAGCACATTTCTCTGTAACCTGGGGCAAGTTGCCTCACTTCCCTGGGCCTGTCTGCGACACTTGGGAGTGGGGACTCCACTGTCACAAATCAACATTAGTGAGCATTTACTGACAGGGCCCTAAGTGTTAGGTTACTGTTCCAAGCACTGTACCCTCCCTTTCTCATTTAACCCTTAACATTCCCCTAGGGAGGGATCACTTATTCGTTATTTGCCAGTAGGCCCCTTTTTCCCATTACAATGAAAGATGACAGTGGAGGGACCAGCAGATAACATACCGGCTACATGGCTGGACTCCCACATAGTTGACCTGCGGTTCGAGTCCCAGACCTGGTGTCTTAAATTCACACCAGTGGGACCAGTAGTTGGCGTAATGGCTAGGTCGGTGAACTCCCATGTAGTCGACCGCGGTTTGAGTCCTGGACCCAGTGGCTTAAACTCACGTTGGGCGCGTGTGCGTGCGTGCCCAAGATGCCTAGAGGAGAATGGAGGAGAAGGGATTGCGGTGTGGCCATCCCCCCTGGGGGGGTGATTTCTCGCTTTCTGTCTCTCTGGTAAATGCATGTGCACTATAGCAAAGACCTCTATTAAAAAAAAAAGAAGGAATAATTGAACCACACTTGACATGAGTAAAGAGCGTTCAAGGTGCTCATCCGAGGTCACACGGCAGGTGAACAGCAGGGCTGTATGGGGACCCTGGCGGCTACACTGAGTCCCGGGGCGCACCTTCTCATCCTGTTACCTGTACTTGTTCTTCCTCCTCGGGGTGAGGCTCAGGGTGCTGCCCCTGGAGGGGGTGGTCTCACAGCCAGCCTTGCCCCCCGAGCCTTGTGGCACGCCTGTGCCCACTCCTCGGGTTCGGTTAGCCTTCTCCACCCAGGGCGGGTCAAAATCTGGTGGGGTGGGCCGGGTGCCTGCAGGGTTCCCGAAGAGAGACTCGTCCACGTATGACGCCCTGGCCTTGACTCGGAAGCCACCCCGGCAGCGGTGTTGCAGGTGGAGTGTCTGCATCCCTCCGATGGCCGGTTCCACAGGGGTCTTCACGCTGCCTGCTGGTCTCGGTGACGGCAGCTGTGCTCTGGCCACCAGGACCTGCTGCCAGGGCTCCCTGGAAAAGCGGTCAAGGTGGCGCCTCTGAGTGGACTAAGACTGGTAGTCTCTGAAGTCCCCATCCCAAGGGCAAAAGGGTCTATTTTTCTTCTGTCAGTCCTCCCTAAAGGGGAGCTGCAACCCTAGGTAGGATGTGGAAATTTGTTCAATTATTCCTCTTTTTTTTTTTTGGTAATTATTTTATTTAACTTTCTTTCTTTCTTTGTTTATTTTAATTTGACCAGAGAGGGACAGAGCAAGAGACCAAGGGAGGGCAAGTGAGAAAGCAAGCTGCCAGGTACAGGACTCGAACCACAGTCAGCCATATGGGAGTCCAACACCCATAACCACCATTTGCTGGCCCCATTCCTCCTTTTCCTTCTTTTAACAGAGATTTTTGCTATAGGGCACAAGCACTCACCAGAGAGACAGACAGACAGAAAGTGAGAAATCACCACCCCACCCCCACCCCCGCCCAGAAGACCATGCTGCAATCCTTTCTCCTCCATTCTTCTCTTGGGATTTTGGACCCGTCTGCACATGCGCCCACTGTTGAGTTTTGTTTTGGAGAGGTTTTTGCTATAGGGCACGTGCGCTCGCCAGAAAGACAGAGACAGAGAGACAGAAAGCGAGAAATCACCCCCCAGAGAGGATGGCCACATTGCAACCCCTTCTCCTCCATTCTCTTGGGCTCTTGGGCATGGACACACACGTGCCCAGCGTGAGTTTAAGCCAGCAGGTCCGGGACTTGAACCACGGTCGACTGTGTGGGAGTCCAGCGACATAGCCATTATGCCAACTGCTGGTCCCACTGGTGTGAGTTTTAAGACACAAGGTCTGGGACTATGTGGGAGTCCAGCGATGTAACTGTTACATTATCTGCTGGTCCCTCAACTGTTGTCTTTGGTTGTAATGGGAAAAAGGGGCCTACCGGCAAATACTTAATGAGTAAGTAAATACGCACTCCTACCAGACAATGTGAACTCAACAAATATTTACAGAATGACTCGTGGGATGGAGAGACGGGACCCCTGCCCACTTTGGCACCAACCAGAAAACGATCCATGGCTGGAGAGGGAGTCCCTGTACCCTGTATATATTTTTGGGTGTAGGGGTGACCAGGGCCAGTGTTGATCCCGTGCCTACCTCGTGCAAACTGCATTGTTTCATTTAATCCTCTCAACAGCCCTGTGAGGTGGTTATGTTCATTTTATGGATCACGAAACAGGCTTCGGAAGGTGAAGTCATATGTGTAGGTCACACCTATGAAACAGTGGAAGAAGAACTGGAACCCGACTGAGAGCCCAGAGCTTGTGCACTTAGCCACTCTATGGGGTACACGCCCACTCCTCCTCCCCGCCCCATATTTCCCCCAACCCCCAAGTTAACGGCCTGGTTAAAGCCCGAGGTCCCTGCATTCTTGGGTTATTCTCCTACCTGAGCATCGGGGTTCGCGGGTATCCGGGCTGCAAGCCTCACCGATTGCTTCTCGGCGAAGGCGCGGGGACTGCAGCTTGCGGAGCATCCGAGATCCCCATCCATCTGCATCCAGGAACCCCTGGCTCCTGGGACCCTCGCAGCTCAGGCCGCGCGGGCAAGGCTCGCGGACCGACTCTCCGGGGCAGCCAGGCCCTAGCGACGTGAGCTCCGCGCGCGCATCCAGCAAACAGTAACCAGCGAGCGAAGGGGCGGGCACGGCCCGGACCATCCGACCCGGGGGGACCGCCCCGCTCCTGACGCCCCAAAGTACGGCACGGAGCTCCCTAAAGCCACAGGTGGGGTCTCTCACGCCAATTGGCTGTGTGTGAACCAGGCTTCCTGGGCTGCAGACGGGGAGAAAGCCAAGCCGCGGCCGTGTAGACGCGGCGCCGCCCCCCCCCCGTCTCGAAGTTGGTACGTCCCGGCAGGCTCCGCCCCCTTCCGGGTTCCCTGCCCAGGCCCGCATGGCGGCCGGCAAGCGCCCGGCGGCCGGACCTCGGTCGCGAACTGCCATGGCCCAGTGGAGGAAGAAGAAGGGGCTCCGAAAGCGCCATGGCGCCGCCTCCCAGGCCCGCAGCAGCGACTCGGAAGACGGCGAGTTCGAGGTCCAGGCGGAAGATGACGCCCGAGCCCGGAAGGTAGGAGCTGGGGCCGGGACACACGTTGGTACCCGAGACCCGGCCGTGGGCAGCGCCCCGAGGCCTCTGTTTCCCCAGCTGGGGAGTGGGCACGGCAGAGGGCGGGGAAGGAGTCTGCTGGCCCGGGGTCGGGGACTCAGGACCGCCGGCTCGTCCACGTGTCTCGGGGCCGGACATGTCCCGGTTCGGCGCCCGGAGCCTTCCAGGCTGGGGCCTGCGGGCGTCCTGGGAGTTTTGGGTCGCGCGCCCCTCATTGGCTCTCTCCTGCCAGAGGGCGGGTCTCAGTTTCCTTTTGTCCAATGAAAAGTGTGGGTGGAGAAACTGCCTTTGAGAGTTTGGGGTTTCCCTAGGAGGCCGATTAAAGGGGAGGTCTGCCTTTCTGGCCTGAGACGGGGATGCCTCCAAACCTCCTAGAAACCGTTCCCAGATTGCACTTGTCCCTGTTGACCATCTGCCAGGCTCCTTGCTGAGAGATTTACAAGCCTTATTTTTTTTTTTAGAGGTGTTTGCCTTAGGGAGCAGCGGTAATGGCTATGTCGCTGGACTCCCATGTAGTCGACCACGGTTCGAGTCCCAGACCCGGTGGCTTAAACCTCACGCTGGGCTCGTGTGCATGCGTGCCCAAGATCCCGAGAGGAGAATGGAGAAGGGATTGCGGCATGGCCATCCCCCCTGGGGGGGGGGGATTTCTCGCTTTCTGTCTGTCTGTCTCTGTCTTGTGAGTGCACGCGCCCTATAGCAAAAACCTCTCCAAAAAAAAAGGAAACAAAAAAAACGCTATTTCATCTGCTGGTCCAAATCTTTTTTTTTCTTTGAGAGATTTTTGTGCTATAGAATGCATGCCTTCTCTGGAGAGACAGGCAGATAAAGAAGTAAGAAATCTGTCCCCTGACCACACTGCAATATCCTCCATTCTTCTCTCAGGATTTTGGGCAGACACACACACACACACACACACACACACCTGTCATGAGTTTCAAATTGCCAGGTCCGGTTCTCAAACTGCAGACGCCTATGTGGGAGTCCAGCGCCTTAACCACTACGCTACCTGCTGGCCCCCAAGCCTTATCATTTAATCCTCACACCAGCCCTGTATGCCAGCTCCTGCCATCCCCATTTTCTAGAGGAGGAGCCAGCCCTAGGAGGGTTAAGAAACATGACCAGGACTTGCCAGTTTGTGAGTGGGAAGGTCAGGGCTCAAACTCGGGACCGTCTGATTTCAGGGCCTATGCCATTTCCACTACTGAGTGCCATTGCCTGCTGTCCTGTGGCCAGCGGATGCCCAACCTGGAGATGGCTAGGTAGGGGCAAGAGTAAGTGTGCGTTCATGTAAAGAGAAAGGTCTACACCCCAGTGCAGGGACCCAACAAGGACCGTATTCGCCTTCTCCCACCCCAGCTGGCCAGTGCCTGACACCTAGTAGGTGCTGGATAGATGGGCAGAAACTGCTCGAGGTCGTAACCAGCACAGGCAGGCAGTGGGAGGGGTGCGTGCATGGTTCAGACCACGGGCTTGGCCGCCCTGACGCCCTGTGTTCAAACGTGCCCAACCCTGCACTGGCCGGGGGGCCTGGAGAAGCTGCTTCACCTCTCTGTGCCCCACTTCCCACGTCCGAGAAGGCAGGTGGTATGTGCACCTCACAGTGTTGAACAGAGTGGACGGGACAGTGCCGCTCTGTCCTCCCTACTGAGCGCCCCTGTGTTCAAGCCCTTGGTTCCCGTGTAGTGGAGCGGAGTGGGCAGACTGTTCTGGAAAGGGCCAGGTGGGCATCGTTCAGACCTTGGGGGGCCATATAAGGTCACCGTCTTCTTGGTTTGAGTTTTTTCATTCCCTCAAGACTGCACAAAACAGCCTATGACTTTAACTGGAGGATTGTAGTGGACGGTTACTGTGGAAAAGACACAGACTCTGAAGCCAGAGTTCAAACCCCTGTCCTTGCCTCCCTCGCTGACTGGGTTGTTTATCTCCGTGCCTCAGTTTCCTTCTCTGTAAAATGGGTGTAATAGTGGTGCCTGCTTCACAGGGTTGTTAAGAGTTAGTTTATATGGGGAACCAGCAGTTAGCGTAATGGCTATGTGGCTGGACTCCCACGTAGTCGACCGCGGTTCGCGTCCCGGACCTGGTGGCTTGAAACTCACACCGGGCGCGTGTGCGTGCATGCCCAAGATCCCGAGAGGAGAATGGAGGAGAAGGGATTGCGGCGTGACCATCCCCCCTGGGGGTGATTTCTCGCTTTCTGTCTCTATGTCTCTCTCCGTCTGGCGAGCGCACGTGCCCTACAGTGAAAATCTCTCCAAAAAAAAAAAAAAAGAGTTAGTTTATATGAACACTCAGAGCAACGTCTAGCTTGTAGAAGTGCTGGAAGATTGAGCCATTCTTATGAATTACGGCTCTGTACATGTTATTTCCCAGAGGAACGACAGCTTGGTAGTCCAAGAAGGCATCCCGGAGGAGGCAACTTGGTTGAATTTAGCAGTACTAGGCCACATGGATCCTGGATGAGAGCATGGAGGCCAGGCATGAGAGAGACTAGTTAGATCATGGATCAGAAAGAAGATAGTGGGCCAGCCACTGGCACAGAGATTAAGGTGGCTGGATTCCACATGGCCAACTATGCAGTTCGAATCCCGGACCTGGTGGTTGAAAAACACACCAGATGCACTGCATGTATGCCCAAAACCCTAAGAGGAGAATGGAGGAGAAGGGATTGTGGTGTGGCCATCCCCGCAGGGGGCGATTCCTTGCCTTCTTTTCCTCTCCCTGTCTCTCTGGGGAATGCGTGTGCCTATAGCAAACCAAAACAGATGGAGGGGTGCAGGGTACCTCAAAAAATCTCTCTCACCATGGCAGGTGTTTTGATCAACTCTTTTATTAGAGAGGTTTTTGCTGTAGGGGGCGTGCACTCACTGGATTAACAGACAGAAAGTGAGAGATCACCTCCCCAGGGCAGATGGCCACAGTCCCTTCTCCTCCATTGTCTTCTCCAGGTTTTGGGTATACACACACACACACACGCACCCGGCGTGAGGTTTAGGCCGCCAGGTCCAGAACTCGCACTGTAGTCGACTGGGAAGGAATCCAGTGACATAACCATTACACCACCCGCTGGGACCATGATCGGCTCCTTAAAGTGTTGATTTCCCAGGCTTTGAATGACTAGCCAGGCTGATGGTACTGCAGCCGGTGATGCTGACGTGAGATGAGACTCTGGGCGCCTTTCTAAGCTCCCCACTCACCTCTGTAATCTCTGTGACCCCCGGGAGGCCGTGCCCTCGTCACTCCCATTTTCGTGATGTGCAGGCACAGGCTCTTGGAGACTTAAGTCCCCTGCTTGAGCTCTCACAGCTGGACAGTAACACAGCTGGGGTTTGAACCCAGGCAGTCCACCCGCAGAGCCCAGTCCGAACCTCGGCCCTGCCTCTGCCCAATCCAAGGAGAACTTTTAAGCAAAGAAGTCACGTGACCCAGCAGGAGCACCATTGGCTTAAATGAGGGGAGGGATGGGCAACCGGGTGCCCCTGCAGGAGTGCGATCGTCCTTGGAGTACCACTGCCTCTCTGTTCTTCCTCCCAGCTGAGACCTGGCAAACCTTTGCCCACCTTCCCCACCTCGGAATGCACCTCGGACGTGGAGCCAGACACCCGGGAGATGGTACGCGCCCAGAACAAGAAGAAGAAGAAGTCTGGCGGCTTCCAGTCCATGGGTGGGTGAGCAGGCCACGCCCTCGGGAGTCCCCATTCCCTGTGTACTCAGTCCCCGCTGCTGCTCTGGGCCCAGCGTGGTAGGTGTTCGGGAGGACGAGGCAGCAGCAGGGAGGGCAGCAGACCTGGCGCATGTGTGTGCGTGCCCAAGATCCCGGGAGGAGAATAGAGAAGGGATTGCAGACTCACATCGCTGACTGCAGTTCGAGTCCCGGATCTGGTGGCTTGCTTTCTTACTCTCCCTCTCTCCTCCCTGTCTCTCTATCTCTCTGTCTCTTTCTGGTCAGATTGAAGAACAATAATAATAATAAATAAAATTAAATGAATAGTTCTCAAAAAATTTTAAAACATTTAAAAAAAAAAAGAAAAGAAACTCAAGCCAGTCATGTGTACATACATGCCCCAAGATCCTGGGAGGAGAATGGAGAAGAGATTGCAGCATGGCCATCCCCTCACCTTCCCTCACTATCTCTCTCTCCAGCAAATGCACATGCCCTAAGGCCAAAAGTTCTTAAGAAAAAAAGTCTCATACATAATGACACGTCTCCAGAAAGTTCTTGAATGATACATATTATGAGAGAATGCATGGATTCGAAATATTTTGCACCGCAGTAAAACCCTGCTTTAATTTTTATTTTCTCCATGAACTTTTTGAAGTCTAAGAGATGCAGGACCTTATCACATCCAAACCAAACACGGTGTCTCGGTGTCACCAAAGACCCATCCGTGTTTGACACCCCAGCCGCCCTATGGCACGAAAAGCATGTCGGAATCCTAATAAGGTGCTTACGTTGCAACCGGGTGACTCCCAAGTCTCACATCACCTCGCGACTTTTGCTTTATTGCTTTTCTTCTTTTTTGCTGTCCATCGATGACACAGTCCTTCGTCCTCTAAGGTTTCTTGTGGTGTGGTGCTGTGCGGGCTCCCCAGCCCCTGACTCTAATCTCCCCCAGGTTTGAGCTACCCGGTGTTCAAAGGCATCATGAAGAAGGGCTACAAGGTGCCAACGCCCATCCAGCGGAAGGTGAGGGGTGGGGCCGGGATGAGCGGGGCGGGGCCGCTCCAGTGGGGCGTGGCCGGGACTAGAGGGGTGGGGCTGGGACTAGAGTAGTGGGGTGGGGCCACTCCAGTGGGGCGGGGCCGGGACTAGAG